TCTATCTATCTATCTATCTATCTATCAAATTTGTCGCTGTCCATTTTGTGAAACGACTCTGGGCGGTTTACAACAAGATAAAAACTCATTAAAATACAACATAAAAACAATCCTAAAAATAAATGGGCTCCAAGAAGATGGAGAATTTGCTTGTAATTCCAGGGAGCATCATCAGGGGGCTGACAACCCCAGGGAGGGGTAGAGCCCATATCACCCCATGCATACTGACAGAGCCACGTCTTTAAGCCTTTTTAGAAAGCTGGGAGGGTAGGAGCCCGCCACACCTCTGGGGGGAGAATATTCCAAAGGGCAGGGGCAACGGCAGAGAAGGGTCTCCTCCTGGGCCCCACCAGCCGACATTCCCTTGCTGACAGGATCCACAACATGCCCTCTCTGCCTGACCGGGTGGGATGGGTTAATGTAATGGGGATGAGACGGTCCCTTAGGTAACCTGGACCCATGCTATGTAGGGTTTTAAAGGTAATAACCAACACCTTGAATTGGACCCAGAAGCAAACTGGCACCCAATGCAGCTCCCACAGTAAAGGTGTTACATGTGCCATTCTAGGGGCACCTAATATCATCCGTGCAGCTGTATTTTGAACCAGCTGTAGCTTCTGGATACCCTTCAAGGGTAGCCCCATGAAGAGCTAATTAATCCTATTTTTTCACTGTGCTCCTTGACTTTTATTACTAGAGCCTGCAGATCCTATGCATTTTCAACAGTGTTATCATCATACCACAGGTTATTGATGTTTCTACCTCCAATTTTAAATCCACTTTCACCTTCCAATCCAGCTTCCCTCAATATATATTCTGCATATAGGTTAAACACTGTACAAGTATAAGAAACAAATTAGGAAGGCAAACAACATCCCTGAAGAAGGAAATGGCAAACTACCTTTATTATGGCTAAGAAATCTGCATGAATGTATGCATGGAGACAGCAGAATTCCAGCAGAAGTCAATCTGAAGGAGACATTTATTTTACTTTTTATCAACATGCAAATGGATTCTTGAAATAAAGCAAGATTTCTCAATGTACTTTAAGGGCACACTTATTTACTCAGTGGCTGGTTTCCCCCATTACAATAAGACATAATATGATTAGTTTGGATCTCGCTTATTGTGTTGGAGGAATCCAGCCAATATCCAAAACAAATACCTTTGTTCCAATATAAAACTGAAAGCCTTAAAAAACTGAAGCACAGACACATAGACCAAATACATGCACACAGAAAAGCAGTTTGGGTATGTACATCAATCTATTATTTAATCTTTTTTTACCTCTACCATTGTCTTAGTGATATACCGCTTATAATTTCCAATGGATAACTTGTTCCTGTGACTATTTTAGCTGTGAAAAATAAGCCCAAGGATGTCTGCTCTACCTACAAGCTCTTCAGCATATACCAAACACGTCACAAAGCCTACTGAAGCACAGCCATGCAACTTTAATTCAGAAAAAAGCTTTCCAAATCAATAACCTTTTTTATCAGTTACTATTGACTATTTTATTCTTTGTCACTGGTCTGAATCTAGATGATCAAAAACTATTATAAACTATACTATTCTAGCTTAAAAAACACACACACACATTTCGTTTGGGTACCTTTAGATGCCATGCAACTCCAGTCCTCAAATTGCAGTGCAGCACACATTGACTTGAGAGGCAGGGATTTAGCTGAACTTAATAAGGTTTACTTCAACAGAAGCAAGCACTGGGTTTCTTAAAATTAATTAATTAACTGAATATCTGAGTTATACTGTTTATTGCATAATGTTACAACAGATGTTATGTGGACACATTCAACATTATGAAGCTGCAGAATATTGTCTGCAAAACACTTGTGGCAAAAAGAGGCTGTTTTTTGCATGCTTGATAGCAATATTCAAGTTCTGTTGACAAACACAGTACCCACCGGAAAGCTAAACTGATCAATATACCCAAGGGAAATAAAAAGGACGAGTTATAATTCTTGCTGTGGGTTAACACCATTAATCATTGTTATGGTTTGGGATTGCCCCCTCCCCCAAATTATGCCGATTTTAATTTAGAGGAGAAAACCCAGGGGTTGAACAGTGTTTGAAAGGCGACAAGACTGTTCACCTTCTTGATAACAGGCGACATTTCACGCAGAGAGGGATTGACAAAAAGATACGGGTTTCGTACACGGCTACCTCAGAAGAGCCTGGCCTAGCTACTTCAACGCCTCGCCTTTTGCAAACAAAAGATATCGCATCAGGGAATTGAGGTAAGATGCAGATGATCTCACACTGCAGTCCTTCGAGGGCCACACTGTGCGATCCCGCCCGGATCTTGCTCCTGGCGACTAATCCCGTGCAGGTGAGACGGGTGTTTCTTGCACAGAATACCTGCTCAAGCTTCGGCCCGCAGAAATGCCCAAGGACAACATAGAGCGAGGGAAAGGAGAAGGGGGCAGCCGCGCTCCGAGCCGCCCGCAGACAGCCAGCCGCCTCAGCCCTCGCGATCGCCGCCGCGCTCCCCCCGGGCGCAGGCACGGCTCCCACGTGCCGCCGAGAGCCTCCGCGCTACGCCCTCGCCGGCGACTTGGGCGAGCGGCGGAGTCACTTCCGCCGGTCGGGGCTCGGCGCCCCGCCCCCTCTACAGACCCCCGCGCGCCCCCCCCCCGTTTCCTCCCCGCCTATCCACCCCACTCTCCCCCCGCGCG